TGTGTGTGTGTGTGTGTGTGTGTGTGTGTGTGTGTGTATGTGTGTGTGTGTCTGTTTGCACATGAGCGCAGTATCCCTGGAAGTCAGGAAAGCACACTGGATCTCCTGCAGGTGGAATTACAGATTGTGAGCTGCCCAACGTGGTTGGCTGCTCAGTCCTCTGTGAAAGCATTACATGCTCTTTTTTTTTAATTTTTTAATTTTTTTTGGTTTTTCGAGACAGGGTTTCTCTTGTAGCTTTGCGCCTTTCCTAGAACTCACTTGGTAGCCCAAGCTGGCCTCGAACTCACAGAGATCTGCCTGGCTCTGCCTCCCGAGTGCTGGGATTAAAGGCGTGGGCCACCACCGACTGGCCGAAAGCAGTACATGCTCTTAACCAGGGCCATCTTTCTTTCCCTCTTCATTTTATGATGTCGTGTGTGTGTGTGTGTGTGTGTGTGTGTGTGTGTGTGTGCGCGCGCGTGTGCTTTGAGGCCTAATCTCACATAGCTCAGGCTGACTCACCAGCTCACAGAGGATGACCCTCAACCCCTCCCTGTTCCTCCCGCCCCACCTCTCACATGCTGGGATGACAGGAACTGAGAGTCAAGCGAGATGGCTCAGCATGTAAAGGTGTTTGCTGTCAAGCCTGAGGACTCAAGTTCCCTTCCCAGGTCCCACACAGAGGAGGAGAAAACGGACTCCTGCAAGTTGTCCCTGGCTTCCACACATGAATCTTGGTATGCCTCCATCTCCCGAAGCACAAGTAAAAGTAAAACGCTGCTAATAATATCGAATGATATTAGCTCAGATTTGAATTTATCTGCAGAGAATTCTGAAGGCATAAGAAACTTGCAGGAGCCAGGCATGGTGGTGCGTGCCTCTAATCCTAGCACTTGGGAGGCAGAGGCAGGTGGATCTCTGTGAGTTCAAGGCCAGCCTGGACTACAGAGTGAGTTCTAGGACAGCCAGGGCTGCTAGACAGAGAAACCCTGTCTTGCAAAACCAAAAAAGAAAGAAAAGAAAGAAAAAGAAAGAGAGGAAGGGCCAGGTGGTGGTGGCACACTCCTTTAATCTCAGTACTCGGGAGGCAGAGCCAGGCGGAGGATCTCTGTGAGTTCGAGGCCAGCCTGGTCTACAGAGGGAGATCTAGGACAGGCACCAAAACTAC